GCTCCTCTTCCTCCTGCCGGAGCAGCCGCACCAGCTGCTCCACGCGCTGCCGGATCAGCTCCCGCATCTCCCGCTGTGCCTGATCCAGCCGGGAGGCCTCCTCCTTCAGCGCCGTGTAGGTGGCCTCGAAGCTGCTTCTCTTCTGCTTCAGTTCCCGGCTCATGGTGCCCAGCTCCTCCTGCCTGCGCTGGGTCTCGCTGTGGATGTCGCAGAAGGGGGCGTGCTGGCTGTCCAGCAGCGCACAGATGCAGCACACAGGCTTCTCGCACTTCTTGCAGTAGATGCTGTGGGGCCAAGCACAAGCAGAGCAGTAATTCAGACCACGTGCTTTGCAACTCATTCATTTATCAACTGCAAATTCATTCGTTCACTGAATTTAAGTTTCCATGAAGTTTGGGCCAGGCATTTGGTTTTATACTCTCCCAACTGAAAAAAAATATATTGGTTCACTATTTCCACAGGGTTTCTGCTCCTCTGCTGGGCTGGCCAAAGTCACTGCGGTCATTCATCCGTGCACTGCAAGGGCAGTGAAGAAATGAGCTCTCTACCCTTCCCTGAGCGCTTATTGGGGTTATGTATAAGAATATAAGACCAAAGAGTATCTTATCTCCATGAGATGCCTAAGGCAAGACTCTAAGAAGTGGGGAGTGGAGATCATCATCCATCCTTCATGTAAGTCCTGGTAGCCTTGGCAAGTGGTGGGCTAGGGACATGCTGAGGCATCTGGGCCATCGTGGCTAGCTTCAGTGCTGGCCTCCACAGATGCTCCATCCCCTTCTCCTCTCCCTTGGACTTTCCCTTGAGGGCACTTAAACCTTGTCCTGCATTGCACCCATGCTGTTGCCCAAATCCTCTCCAAGCTGGTCTAGCACCATCAGCAAAACACATGCTTCTCCGCTGTCCCCATTCTCCCATCATCAGCTCTACCCCGGCATCATCCAAACCCTCCCCCCATGCCCTAGAGCCCGCCAGTCACTACTTCCCACCCATGTTCTCCATGACATGGTGCCAATCAGGGCAGCAGAGGGACAGGGACATCCTGCTCTGTCCCATCATGGACTAGCCCAAAGAGATTTGTGACAAGAAACCACCCAGGTGGGGACAGACCTCCTTAGACTTACCTTACAGCCTGGCCCTTGTGGGTCGGGTTGGAGCAGGACAATTTTCCGGTCCCCCTGGCGCTCTCAAGGAATTCCTTGGCAGACCCTGCCCTGATGTCAATCACCTTCTTGGCTTCATGGCTCTCCCTCTTCAGGTAGCGCTGGTGGGCCTCGAAGCATTTGGTGCAGAGGAACTCCTTGCACTCAGAGCACCAGAACTCCCCATTTTTCTGGCAGTTGTCGCAGAACAAGTCAACTCCATCAATGATCTTCTTGTAGATGCTGAGCCTGGCCTGCAGGTTGGTGAAGAGCAGGTTGTCTGTGTCAGGGATGCTGCTGGACTGCGGAATGGCCATCTGGCAGACGGGGCACTGTGCAATGGGCTTGTTCTCGCTCAGGCAATTGAGGCACAACGTGTGGAGGCAGGGGAGGAGCTTGAGGTTGCGTGATTCCTGCCGGCAGCCCTCGCAGAGGACGAACTGGAAGTCATTTTCTAGGAGCTTGGGGAGGGAGGAAGAGAAATCAGCACTGCGGTAAGGTTTAAAGAGCTTCTGAAACCACACCTTGCAGCGGGGTGACCTGCAAAGCTGACCTGGGGCAACCGGTGAGCAATCGTTTCCCACCAGCCACGCCCAGGACCTGCAAGCAGTGGTAAGGTGGGATGGATGGGGCCCTGAAAAGAGGACACAGGATGGCCCACCTGGCTGTGGGGCTGGGAAGGGCTGCAGAGGGGCAGTGCAGGGCATGGGGCACGGAGGAAGCGTCTAAGGACCCCTGGATGACATCCCGGCGGGGTGGGGACCATCGCCCC